ATTTTTTTAAATAACAAAACTTTATTTTATAAATACAAAAAACACTTAAATTTATATACAAAATCAAAAAATTATCAATCGCCCTACTCAATTTAATTATTGATTTTTGAAATCCCAGCATCTACCCCCAAGCCAATTCCTAAGATATAGAACTCATTCTATTCCGTTATAAAAACGTGAATAAAGTTTTCAATATATATGTATAATCTGTTATGTAAAATAAAACAAAAATCAACTGCAATCTTGCAAATAAAGTGCAGAAAAATAAAAAGAAAGGGAAGAGAATATCAAGCCGTGATTTATAGTGGTTCCTCCAACCTGGAGTACGTCCACTTCCCAAGCCTTCTTGCTCGAGAGTTCAATCCACTAGAAATCTCTTGTTTACGGGTGCAAGATTAAACCGGAACAATCTCTTGCTTGCGGGTGCAAGATTAAACCCTCACAAGTGAATCTCAACTCACTCAACCCCTTCAAGGATTAACCCAATCCAAGAAAAGTACAAAACCCTTGTAAGACAATATACCCAAAAACCTCACAAGAAGAAAAGAAGAAGGAAAACCAGAACAATTTCAAACTGAGTTCTCTGTAGCAATTCGTCCTTCTTCTCTATTCCAGGTCTGATTTTTGGTGTTTTAATAATTGGTTGGGAGACTTGCCATTAATTGCCCATTTAGACCTTTAAAGCCACCTCACAATTGCTCCAATTAGGTTCCACCTTATTCTTCTGACTTGTCTTGGAAAGTGCAAAGACATTTAGATACCCTATGACCCATTAAGAGAAAACATATAGTTGAGCTGTCAAAATTAAACTTTTCAGAATTTTTGCTTCGAAGTCAGAAATATTGCTTCGAACCATTTTTGGAAAACAAAAGTCCGAGATTGATTCGAACCAAAATAAATTGGTTCGAACCTAGAACTCTAAACAAGGAGGAACATGAATTAATTCTAATCGTGGGGAAAGATTAAAAACTTTGGATTAATTTTTCTGCACACTTAGCACAAAATATATTAAATTCTTTTGAATCATGGTTTAAAATCATCATAAAAAATACAAAGAGAACCTTACAATTTTTAACCAACTTTCAACGACCCATTATAAAGTAGTTCATTTACTAATACATACCCATTAGAGTCATGATCCGTTCTGAGTCTTCTGACATAAAAGAAAAACCTTACCTTTCCTTTAATTTTTACCCACTGACATGTCTCTACTTGTACATAATTAACTATTTCGCCATCATCTACTGTGCCACCATTAAATTGCTTTTCATTACCAGGGGCACTCGCCTCTTGCACTCTCCGGCAAACACTTCTCCTTTCATTGGGCCACGTAAACTTGCTTCGGCTTTGAACTGCAACCTCTTACCGACAAAAATAACGTGGCCCAATAAGAGTGCAAGTGTTGGCCGGAGAGTGCAAGAGGCGAGTGCCCCTAGCACTGCTCTTCAAAATAATCCTTGCCACTGCAAATCATATAGGTTCCCAGCCCGTCTGTACTTTCCATCAAGTACGATTCCTTGTGCTGCTCAAAAGCTTCCCGCACATTGCTTGCTGCAGCAGTGTACACATCCCACCAATCCCCAACAGTTTGACCAACCCTGAAAAGCTATTTTATAATGCAAAAACAGATGGTTGCCGTCCTCAACATTTTCCTCAAAGACAGTCGTGATTTTGCTTCATTTCGTGTGATTTGGGAGGAAGTGAATGAGTTTTGGCCCGGCGTTCCCCTGATTTCAACTGTTTTGAGTTAGGGTTTTGTTTCTCTTCGGTTGACTAATAAAAAAAGGTGAGTTATTTCTTCCACTCCGCCTTCGTTCTCTCGTTATCCTTGTTTTCTTGTTGAAATCATTTGTTTCTTTGAATTTGCTTTGGTGCCACAAGAATTTATCATAATTCCTTGTTATATTTGATGTCAAACTAGGTACTGCTTGAATGTCTCAGAAAATCTTTTAGTAGCATTTGTCAAGATCATCTCAAATCTGGGTTTCAAACATGATTTTTTTCTTCAGTAGTGGAGAAATCTCTGTCTGAGAAGAACATTTTTGCCAGTTTAAGGGATGGAGGAGGAAGAAGGAATTTACATATTTTTTAAAATAAAAATTACCACGTCACTCTAGAGAAATTCCACCTATTATTTGAAAAAGTTATGCCTTCATGGTTTTGATTCTATATTTTTTGAACTGGAAACCTCATAATTTTTCTGTACCAACAAATATATATATATATATATATATATATATCTCCTGAGGGAATAGACAGGCCAGTGTTTCAAATTTCCCAGCCATCCTTCTGAATTTTGGACAATAATGGGGTTTTAACAAATGTACATCTTTGATTTCCCTTTCTTCTTCAATCCCTCGCCTCTGCGGATTTCTTCCAGGCCAAACACGTTCATCTCTTCGTCGATTCAGTTGCTTTTCTTTCCTTTCTTCTATTTCGTGAATGTCTTAGAATTCCTTCTGTTTATTGATTGATTAAGAAAAGCAGCTAGAATGTAGGTTATTGGACACGGGATGGTCCATGTGGTATTTTTTTTTTCCCTTTAATAAATTCATGTGCAGGAATGTATAGGGTATTAAAGAATCAGTGTTTAGGTTTTTTTTTTTTCGTTTTTTTTTTTTTTGAATATATGTTGGTTGTTTGCTTCTC